GGGGTGAGTTTTGTAAATATAATGTTCCTCATGTAATTGTAGATTAATGATACCAAAAAAAAAAAAGAAGCTTTGGTTGTTTATTTATTGAGTTACAAAAGGTCCCTTTTGTTTCTGTTTTGATCTGGTGCCTCAACTTTGAATGATAAGGTTTACAATTTGAGGCATCACAATAACTTGTTATCCTATAAATGCACTTGATATCTGGGAAACCTGATCACTAACTCCTTGGTTTAAAAGCGAACACTAGTGACTACTAAATTTAAAAAATACCATACGTGTGATTCAGTGGAAAGGGTAATTTATTTTCATGGTATTCTGAATACCATGAAATAATGATAAACATCACTAACATAAAAACATGACTCTGTGACCTACATGCACTACAGAAGCACAACCAAGGGTGCATGTTCTCAGTCTGTTGAAGCCACCCTATAGTCACTTGCCATAAGCTTTTCAGTGTCCCTCTTTGTTGACTCTGCATATTCTTCTATCAGAGCACATACCATCAGTTAGGTCATTTGACCATCCCCTCTCTGTGAGCTTCTTGAGGACAGCAGCTGTGTTCTCTCTTCTAGCAGATACATAAATACACAATGCTTACAAATAAATACAGTAAATATTGTTGACAGCTTTTGTGTTTTTACAAAACTTCATACTCTTTTGACTCTTGTTAACTAGTTCAGTCATTTACTAGTACTAACTTGGAGAGAGGCTTAAGTTACAAAACTACATGGAAGAAAAATATAAAATTATAAAAATTTATCATTAATGTTTATGTAAAATGAGAAATATTCATTATTTGATATTAGCAAAATCCTTCCCTCTAGATCATGGAACAGCAGTATTGCATAGGAACATTAATTTGCAAATGCACTGGCATAGAATTCAGCAACAGACAAATCTCTTGTCAAGAGTTTTCAAAGCACTAGCAGCTCTCATACCAGTCTGCCCTCTATGACTTAGTCCTTCCTAGCAGGATAATAATGTGCTTTCAAAAAACATTTGAAAAATTTTCTAAATAAAGAACTATCATTTTGAAACACTTAAGAATATCAAGGATTCCAAAAATGCCACATTCTCTAGTGAGTGGTAACATACATTTGATCACTTCTTTTTCTAACAAATGAACTATTGTAGTTCAAATATTCTTTACAAAGTTATAAAAATTGTATCATGGGTAAATAGCAAAAACAAAACAACAAAAACCTTCATAATTTGCACCATATCCATTCATAAAAGAATTAAAGCAAAGTCAAACAGATGCATAATGAAGCTATTAGGCCAGTCAGAGTCACTATAGAGTGTGGAATACTTGTTCTGGACTTAAAGATCTTAATCAGAAAAAAATTTATAGGAAGTAAACAACAAAAGGAACGAGAGTACTAGGAGATTAAGAATATGCATTTCTGATAGCAAAATAATGTGCCTACTAAATACATTTCACATTTGGAAGAATATACTAACGATATTTAAGAATTCTCTCTGAATCTTCCCTGCCTTTTGGGGAGGAGGAGGGGAAGAGAGAAGTGTGTTACGTGTGTAGACGTGAACTAAAGGATCAGACCACACACACCAAATGACAAATAACATATTTTGGAAACATACGATCATACTCGGGAGGGAAATACAAAGTGCAGCCAGGCAGTATCAAAGGAAAGTTGAGACATCCATACTGTTTCTGAATTCTCAGTTCAGAAAGCATCACTTCTTAGACGTGGTGACTTTAAAACACAGGCGACTATTAGGATCCTTGGTCCGCGGAACTTCATGCCCCAGATGAAATTCTGCATGGATAGAACTCATTTTAGAGCAAGAAGAATGGGCGGATGGGAGAAGAAATAAGTAACTTTATGCATAACATTCAAGAATTATAAACTTCAGTAAGTGTTATGGCAGATTTATAAATACGCCAAGGGAAAGAACTGAAACAGGACAGGATCAGAACATGGACATACACTACAATTTAATAAATGGGCTGAGGACAAACCTGAATAATAGTAAATCCACATTCTGTAACACGACACACATAACAAAAAAATCTCAAAAGCTAACACAGAAAGCTTCCCTTCCATGAACAGCTACTACAACTATTAGCAAGGAAACGTTCTCTCAGCCGGTTCTGAGATAGCTGATTGATTCAACAAAGCAAGGCGTTTGGAAAGAGGAGCAGTGTAGGCTAATTCAGAAATGTAAAACCGATTAAGCAGATCGATGTGGCCATTTCGGGGCTATAGCCCAAAGCAAGGGTTTCCAATCTGGGGCGCCTCTATCGGCAGGGGCGCAAAGGGCTTCTAACAGCACCAGCGTGTTAACTAAACGCACCGGCCACCTCAGCCCATTCACCAGCGCACCTGCACGTTTAATCAACAGCTACCTACGCTGGCTGGGCAACTTGCGCCGGCGGTAATATTCAAGAGCGGTTCCGACCGGGAGGAGGAAAAACTTTCTCTTGATTCCCCAAAACCACTCCCTAAACGGTACAAGCCACCTCCATCCCCGGCTACTGGAAACCGCCGGGTTGGGGACATAGTGTCCACGCGAGGGCCTCCCAAGCCAGCCCCTCGCCCTAAACCGAGGCCTAGAAAGGGCAGCAGGGCGCGGCCTGCCCCTCACTGAAGCCCGGTTCGGCAGCTGAGGCCTGCCCAGTGTTTCTACTCCCAGCCCGAGGGTCTTGGAGCTGTTAGGACAGGAAGCGGCGAAAGGAGAGCACTGCGGAGCTCACCCCAGGTTCAAGGCATCGCGCTTCCGGCAGGAGCGACGCCGCCTCAGTCAGCCGCTCTGCCACGCAGTCGGCGGCCGCGGCTTGGCCTGCTACTCGGTCGCACCTCAGTGACGAAAAAGCCCCGCCCCCCAGCGCGTTGCCTGGAGACAGTGTCCAACTTTCCATTCCAGCGCGCGGCTGGGACTTCCTCGCACCGCTTCTCCTGATGACCCTCGAAACAGGAGCCCGGGATGCCAACTGAGAGGGAAGGGTGGCAGCGAAGGCCACGGACGGGGCCGCGCCTAAGCGGCGTAGGGAGAGGCCTCGCCTGGCAGGCTCCTCGAGGCGGGACTCCAGGAGTTGCTTTGGGTACCGCCTGGCCGACTGCTGCCTACCCTGGCATCCTCCCCCGAGCCGGCTGTTGAGGGCCCAGCCTTGTGACAAAGGCCGCACTGTGAGCCCCCGTTTGGTCAAGCATAAAAGAACACGTAGAAAGTAACTAACACAGGGTGCGAAATGGTAATCCCTAATAAGTGGCAGCTATTATTATGAACATATGTTGGCGATATCCTTGCTTTTCAGACGGTCTATTGTCAATGTTCTCCATTAACCATCTGTTGTGTGCAAGATAGTATAGTAGGTACTCTACAGGCCTTGTTCTTGTGTAAGTAGTTTGATCGAAGTTACATAGACAGTAAATAGCAGAGCAAGAATTTAAGCCCAGATCTGGCTGACACTATTGTCTCTGCTCAGCAGCTACATTAAACTACTTCTTATACTTGTTAACGTTTGGATACCTTGTCCTTCACCAGTCGTTTGTAGATATACCCTGGGAAGACTATCTTGCCCTCTGATAATAGATAATATTTATTGACCATTTATTATGGACCAACCCCTGTCCTAAGTATTTAAAGAGGTATTAATCCTCACAGCTATCTTATGAATTAGGTATTATTAATACCCTCATTTTACAGATGAAGAAACAGGAATTTTCCATTTTTACAGATGGAGAAAGTCAATTAAGTTTTCCAAGGTCAACCAAGTAGTGAGGAGCAGGGCCAGATTCAAACCCAAGCAGACTGAACCAGGAGCTTGTGCTCTTAACTCTTGTTCTAAACTGCTTCAGTAAGATGGTTAGACTCCATCAGGGCCAGGTCCATGTCTGTCTGTATACTTTTATACCTATGGAGGGTGTACTGAGAATTGTCTTCTTGATAACCAGTACAGAGCCTGGCATGCAGTAGTTGCTCAATATTTGAACATTTGATGAATATTTGAACATTGGAAAAACTAAGAGCCTAATAATGAAGTATAAATAGAGATTAGTTTAAAATTAATTAAATTCAACAAGGTCCTATAGTTGAAACTAAACTAATCTGGGCTTGGGAGTCAGGAATATTTTTCTGTAAAAATTGCCTTTAATTAAATATAGCATTGGAGGTTCCAATCAGTGCAATAAAACAAGACAAATAAATAAAAGGCATTCAGATAGGAAAGGAAGAAATAACACTGTATTTGCATACAAAAATACTGTGGAATACTACCAAAAAAAGGCTACTACATCTAATAAGTGAGTTTAGCAAAGTTGCAAGATACAAAGTTAATATAAAAAAATATATCTACTAGTAATGAATAACTGAACATTGGAAATTTTAAAGTACCATTTAGCAGCAAAAAAATTAAATAGGGATAAATTTGACCAAAGGTGTGAAAAATGTAAAAAGATATAAACTGAAAACTACAAAACAATTGTGAGAGAAATTAAAGAGATATATCATGTTCATGGATTAGAAGATTCAATATTTTTAAGATGCATTTCTCTCTGAATTGATCTATAGATTTAAGGCAAGTCCAATAAAAATTGTAGCTGTTTATTTTTGTGGAAATTAATATGGAAATGAGAAGAGCCAGTACACCGTTCTATACTTCATGGAGAGTTTAATGAAGATTGGATTATAGGAGAGACTGCAAGACTAAATATCTAAATATTAATATTAAGTTAGTGTTATTATTGACATATCTAGATAATTCCTTCTCATCCTACAACTTTTTTCTTTGTACAAGCACAATGAATTAACTAGAATGAATTAACTAGAATTAACTTTATTAAGCCAGTAATAAAGATTATCTTAAAAATCAGAAGAGATTAGAAATTCACTCTGGAATAGGATTTAGGAAGTATATTGTAGCAGAATAAGGAAAACTTTATTTTTCCTCATATATAATAGTAGTTAAAGAAAAAGTTTATAGGAAATCATCAATATAAAGAGTAAGAGTTATGGAAGAAGAAACCTCTAAGTTAATCCTTTTAAAAGAAGGATGGATCCTTTGGTAATGACTCTTGCAATTTGTAATGTATATTCAGATTTCATAGTTTATGTCGGTATTTTCCAGTTAAAATACAGAGGCTTCAATAAATTGTAGAAAACAACGTCCTGGAGAGAAGACCAGGAAAACCTCAGAGACTTTTGAAATGGTATTTTTCTAGGAAAGTATGTCCAATGCCTCCTGCTTTTTGAAAGGTCACCTAACATCTGTGACAGGACTGTGGGAATATAAAAGAAAGGCTCTGAGTGGCTTTGGATTGTAAATATCTTTAACTTCCTGTATATAATTCATAAAATCATAAAGTTGAAAGAACTAATAAATCATCTAGTCCAACATTCCTCTTTTATAGATGAGGAAACTGAAAGTCAAAGATGGAAACTGATGTACATAAGGACTACAGAGCAAGTTAAACTGGGTTAAAATCCAGATTTCCTGGCCACTAGGTCTAGTACTTTTCCTCACAATGCTTTACTGCTTTTAATTGAATCAGTAGGGAATGTGGAGGAAAACCAGGCACCTACAATTAAGATTAAAGCGTCTTCATTTAGGATGCTGCACTTTGAGGTTTTTAAATCTTACTGATCCTCAACTTTCTGACTGACTTTTTTTTTGTAGGATTTTGCTGCATATTAAATATATTAACCCTTTTTCTATGTTTTAAATTGAAGATATCTTTTCGCAGTTTATCATTTGTCTTTTGACCTTGCTTAATAGGAATTTTTGACAATGCAAATTTTTGATCATGTCAAACTTATCAAAGTATGTATGTAGTCTAATCTTCATAAAGATAGCAATCATGTTCTTATTGCTTCTGGATTTTCACTATAATTAGGAAAATTTTCTCCACTTCCAGATTTTAAGGAATTCACCCATGCTTTCTTCTAGTACTTACAAGGTTTCATTTGTTACATTTAATATTTGATCCATCTGGAATTTATCTGACACAGTTATGTGAAAAGTAGATCTGATTTTATCCTTTTTTCTAAATGGTTCTTCAGTTGATCCAACACTACTTAGTCCATCTTTCCCCCTCCCATCTTATTTGTCCCCTTTTAACATGTATTAAATTTTCACATGAATTTAGGTCTGTTTGTGAGATGTCTGTCCTGTTACAGTGGTCTGTCTTTCACACATTAGTGTCGCATTGTTTGGGTTATAGGGTTTTATTATATGTTTTAATATCTAGCAGGGATAACTTCCCTCTCTATTGCTCTTTTTTCCCCTAGAAAGAGAACTCATCTGAAGGGAAAAGGAAGTCAGGCCTTTATGAATGACCATGTAATTAAGCTTTAAGCATGATATAGGGAATGGGCTGTAGTGTAGAGATTTTGATAAGATTTTGTCCATGAACCAATCCCTGTGGAATCAAGTCTTAAGTCATAGATTTATACAGGGATGTTAATAAAATCTGCAAAAGCTGTCTGAGCTAAAAAAAAAAAAAAAAGGACAGTATATTAGGTTATGTTTAGTACTGCTTTGGGCCATTTCTAATGGGCTTAATCGCAAATGGCGAGAGAAGTACTAATTCTCCTCTTGTCCTACACTAGGGTTGCTAGGTGAGATAAATGATTCTTAGCTTTGAGACTGCAGGCATTCCATTGCATCCGTGCTGATGTTAGGCAACAGCAACTGCAATAATAATGGGCAGAGATGGCAACACCTGAAGAAATTTGTGGTTGCTGAAGGAAAAGGCAACAGTCTCTAGTAGACATGTCATTGTCTGGAGAAGTAGCATTGTTAAGGTGCAACCTAGGGTTTTATCAGAAAGCAGCAGCATCTGTCAAAGGCCTTGGTGCCTTGTGGGTGTGGCAGTTCCCAGAGGATAGCAGCAGGGCTTAGTAGAGGAACTGGTACCTGATAGCTGTGGTGATATCTAGAGGAATAGTCATGATGCTTGGTAAGAAAGGAACATACTTGTGTGTTCAGTGTGCCTCGTAGAAGGTAGGATAGTACTCATTGGAGTGGAATTAGAGTCAGGGCAGTGGAAGAAAATGCCACATGGAAGGTGACTACACTCTTGTGAGCACATTGGAATCTTCTGCTTCTGGATAAAGCTGGAGGGTTATTTTTTTCTCAAGGAGTAGGATTCTGCCTTAACAGATTCAGGGAAATGCAAGTTACATTGGTGCTTCCCAGGCCATCATTCTGGGAGAAGATACTAAAGGAAGTGTAGATAATGTAACAAGGATAATTATCTGTGCCCATATGCAGACTTTACTGATATCATCCAATAGCTCCTCAGTGCGGGGCTTTCTGTGGAACCTCTTTTGCGTATAAGGCTTAAGCCTGGAGGCCTAAGTAGGATCCAGAAAGAGATGGATGCAACAGGAACCACACGTCCACTTATCTATCTAACCACATTATATAGAGTGAGAATGATGGATGAGGATACCTACCCTGCCTCCAGGAGCAGCTCCTGCTAGGGTCTGAGGAAGGAAGTTGACAACTGAGTGCCATGAATGGGTGCCATCTTTAAGGCAAAATAACTCCACCCACTAGTGAAATACAGCCAGCAGAGGTCCTGGCCTTATCAATCAAGTTAGCACCTTCTCCTCCAGTTTGGGGGAGAGCAGTCATTAGAAAGGGAACATACAGAGGTGGGAGCAAGGATGGGAATTTTCTCTTGTTTATATTAAAATTTAAAGTGTTCCCCAGCTGACTGCCACCTTATAACTTGCCCCCATGCAGATGTAGGCCACCCAGCTTACTGAAGTATTATTGTGCCATTTTGACTAAGCATCTTAGTACTTTGATCTACCTACATTGGGGTTTCAGATACAGGGCAAGATCCCCCACAGGC